TTACGAATATAGCTTTGTATGTACCGGAGTGGTGACATGTTGCCATTTTATAAACACAAGCGATTCTCAAGTCTCGTTGGGGAATGAAAAAGAAGGGCAAGTGAAATTGAATGACATTCACATTAAGTAGGCTTCGAGACTATCAAGAGAGTATTAATTGGAGTTATAAGCACCCTAGGCCACATGCGATAATGGAGGCGTGATTATTGAATGTTCTCACTATGAAATGAGCAGAAATTCCGTTTTCAGTAGAGCATTATCATTCCAGATGCATCTGACTGCAGTTTTGACCTACCTGAATCCCAGCAGCACCCATAGGGGGATTCGAACCCGGGCTCTGGCAATGCAACGTCTATTTTCGATATGTTACCACCACGCCAGACTGCCCCATTGCCATCGGTGCCGGTACCTCACAGGACAGATATGATAATTCCTATTCAAACTTCACCTTATAAAAATCAACCGAAGTCTAACATCTCAAATTCTATTTGAAATTTTCCATAAAGAAACTTTCAAAATCTACCGTTGTCGAAATACCAGCAAAACTTTCCATTTGAAATCTATCATATTGGAAATCTAACAAAATCTACCATACAAAAATCTACAAAATCTATTAGAATAATCAAAATCTTTCAAAAATAAGACTCACTTAAGGTATTGATAGACTGCATGAACTAGGCAGAACCAAAACCAGGCTAAATGAATCCTTTCCTCAGGTACCAAAGGATGAGGATTTTCTTAAGTTACAGAATATGACCGACGGCTAGACAGATGAATGAAGGGAAGCTCAGGAACCCAGAAATTAGAGGCAGATTAAGGGGTCTTGTATCTAAGTTGAGTCATATAAATCATGATTTAAATAAATCTGCGAAGAATAGTGTAATTAATTATTCAGTAAAACTATGGAGGATATTGTGGCACTTTTACTGGAATAAGGATTTCATTTTGCACTTTTAAATGAAGTAGAGCATTCTCTCGACATGCTTGTAGAAATTATTTGCTTATCTGATGTGTTGCTAAAGGAGGTGAAGAATAGTGTTGGGTTGTAGGGGATTCCTTATTTCGTTCAGCAAATCCCAGTGGTAGTCATGGGAGGGTCACGTTGTACACAATAAATGATAGTTCATTTTAGTTATACTGATA